AAATTGCTTCACTCAAACACTGACGGTAAATGGCATCCAGTGCCCATTAATCACCTCTTGCGCGCCAGGGTTCAATTCCACGCTTTTGATGTTACAACAACCCTCCAAGGTGGGTCAGATGAAGCAGGGCCAGCCCAGGATACCCAGCATTAAGCAGAGAATTGGAACAGGCGTGGCTGTCCTCATGCTGTTCAACTCGTACAGATAGTCCTCGACTTACAACAGTTCATTTTTAGTGACTGTTTGACAGTTACATCGCTAAAGAAGTGACTTATGACCATTTTTCACACTTTCGACCGTTGCAGCATCCTGGCGGTCACCTGATCAAAATTCAGACGGTCCTATTTACGACCGCTGCAGTGTCCTGGGATCACGAATCCCCTCTTGGTGGACCTTCAAAGCCAAGGGGAAGCTCACTTAACAACCATGCTACTGCGGCGATTCACTTAACAACTGTGGCAAGGAAGGTGGAAAAGAAAAGGGGCAAAACTCACTTAGCCAATGTTTCACTTAACAACAGAAATGCTGGGCTCAATTGCCTTGGTGTTCACAGCCCCCAGGACAGGGCCGGCTTCCAACAACCAGCTACCCCTAACTCTTTCCCCACATTGGTGCTCCTTCTCCAGGAGACCCTTAACCCTCTCCCAGGTTCCCACGACTGCAGAAAGCAAGGCACCTGCAGGACTTCTGCAAAGAGGTCCTCTACCCCAGTTGGACACACACACCCACTCTCCGAGTCGAAGGTGCCTCTCTTCCCGGGTAACCCGTATTCCTTTCCCACGAGACGGGAAGCCAACACGCTTCTGCACCCCGGCGTTCCGACGACTGCAGAAAGCCAAGCACCCTTAAGAGCTTCTGCAAGAGGTCATCTGTCCGAGTTAGAAACCCCCTCCCGCAGGAGCCTCTCTTCTACTCCTTTCCCAGATGATGGGAAACAGACACGTGTCTGCACTCACACACACACATATTTCCTCCCGAGTTCCGACGACGGGAGAAAGCAAGGCACCCGCATGGTTTCTGCAAGGAGGTCGTCTGTCCGAGCAAAGACGATTACAGAAGAAAAGCCTCTCTTCCTCGGAAACCCGCACTCCTTTCCCACGAGACGGGAAGGCGACACGTGTATACACACACACACACCCCAGACACGTGTCCACACATACAGACACACACGCGCGCGCATTTCCTCCCGAGTTGCGACGACGTCAGAAAGCAAAGCCCCCGCAGAGCGTCTGCCCGAGTTAGAGCCGAACTAAAATGATTGCAGAAGAAAAGGAGTCGCTTTTCCTCGGAAACCCGCACTTCTTTCCCACGAGACGGGAAGGCGACACGTGTCTACACACAAACACAGACCCCCTCTTCCTCTCGGGCTTCGACGACGGCAGAAAGCCAGCCCCCGCCCGAGTCAGACACCCCCCCCCCACACGCCTCTCCCCCTTCAGCGGATCCCGACGTACATACAAAGGCGGCGGCGGCTCCTTCAGCTCCGCAGGTTCCTCGGGGCAGCAGCAGGACAAGGACCCTCCAACCCGCCATCCCGAGGCGCGGCTGAACCCCGGAGTTCTCTTCCTGGCCCGCGAGTCACCACCTCGCATACCGCCCCATTCCCACGAAGCGGCCGACACGGGCACCGCGCGACTCGCATACCTGCGCGGCAGCAGCGCGCGATCGCCTCCTCCCCTTCTTCCCCCCCCCTCCCCTCCCCGAATGCCTGCAGCGCGCCGTCACTCCCGGCGGGCTCGCGATCGGCCGGCTCAGGCTCCGCCCCCTCCGGCAGCCTATGAGCGGCGGCAGTCCGGCTCCCGCCTCGCGCCGCCATTGGTACCTTCTAACACCGTCGCTGCAAGGCCACGCCCCATCAGCAAGAAAGGAGGGGTAGGGGTCAAGCCGGCCTGGGAAGGAGGGAAATAAAAAAATAAAAAAGCTCCTTCGCTCTTAAAGGGGCCGCGGCCTCCCGAGGACGGAGTTGGCTCCCTGGGGGTGTCTTAGAATAGAATATGGAAAGAATAGAATAGAATATGGAAAGAATAGAATAGAATATAATGTGGAAAGAATAGAATATGGAAAGAATAGAATAGAATATGGAAAGAATAGAATAGAAAAGAATATGGAAAGAATAGAATAGAATATGGAAAGAATAGAATAGAATATGGAAAGAATAGAATAGAATAGAATGTGGAAAGAATAGAATATGGAAAGAATAGAATAGAATATGGAAAGAATAGAATAGAAAAGAATATG